TGTTATGAATGATAATATAAACATTTTTGGAGACAGCAATTTGCTAAAGGGGTCGCTGCCCGCAGTTTGAGAACCACTGCTCTCGAACCCTGTAGGAATTTATCTGCGATCTCTGAGTGTTCTAGCAAAGCAAGACTTACATAGTTGTGCTAAGGCAGGCCTATCACAGGAGTACAGAACCCACCCTTAATCCACATAAGGTTTGTGTGACCAAAGCCATTGCACATCTAAGCAGAGCAGTGTCACAACTGGGTTTGCTTTGGAGAAGATGACCCTGCAGCTTGCTTGGGTCTCAGGCTGCAGTCAGTCCTTTGTAGGCTGGCTGTGATCAGCTGTGGTAGGTTGAGGACTTGGTCAGGGCATTGGCAATGAAGATGAATTTGGGAGCAACTGTGGTTGTTGGACAAGTAGACTGCTGTCTTTTCTGCCTGTGCCTGGGGCCAGGGGCCAGGGGCCAGGGGCTGCTGCATAGAGAGTGCTAAGATCACATAGGAAAGGGTGGAGGTGCAGTGGGGACTCGGAAGTGCCCCAGTCACATGCTGGGCTTGCTGGGATCACTTATGTTTAGAATGCAGGAGGGCCTCAGGACTGGCTACCTGTTGAGAGCCATCACATTGAGATGGTTACTAAATGAATGTGTAGATGGCTTTCCAAGAGCAAATCTGGAGCTTGGAGAGGGCTGAGGGCCAGCGCCCTGGCAGCACCTTTGAGAGGGCAACAAAGGGGCTTGAGGAGTTCCAGGCAGAAGGTGAGGCCAAGAACCTAGTATGTCCTGGAAACCTAGAGCTGAATGCAATGGATGGGATGGGCAGCTGCAGCAGAAACTGCCCAGGGCTCATATAGGAACATGTGATCTGGCCTCCAGGCAGCTGCCAGGTACCCTGGGCACCACACAAGGGCAAAGAGACAGACCAGCTCCTAAGGTGTGGGGTCAGAAATTGGAGAGGGTGGCCTCAGCCAAAGACAAATTTGCAGGAAGGCTGCTGGAGAGAGGGGCCCATGCCTCTGCTTAGTTGACACACTATTGTTAATGACAAGCTTCCTTCCTTTTGTCTAACAATTAGTCATAGAAGAGTTTATTTGGGCTTACAGTTCCAGAGGGATAAGTGTCCACCATGAGAAGGAAGTAGCTTCCACTAGGTCCTCTTTATCTGCTGGGTGAAGTGAGGTCATAGATCTCCTACCATGTTCAGCCTTCAGGCAATAGAGACAGGCAAAATACTTCTATGTGATTGGTCACATAGGGGCTCTGAACAGGGGGCTCTCTCTACTGATAGGACCAAGGTTATTCTTGCTTTTGTGTGGATGATACAGAAATGTAATGGAAGAAGATAAGGGGTTGAACAGAGCAATCTCTGTTTTGGGGTTCTTTCTTGTTCAGTAGAAAACGTTCAGTTTATGGAGAAAGCAAATGCATGCATGTCAGTTTTTGTTGTTAAGGTCTGTAATTTTCCACTGAAGATTGGAACTATGTACATGGATATATGTTTCAGTTTAAGGATGTCATACATTAGCCCAGATTAGGACGAAGCCTTGCCAACCTGGAGATCATTGTTGCGCTCCCAGGCACTAACCCACCACCTCCATAAGGTGGCACCATTCTGACATTGCTCCTCTGCCTAGACTGCTCCTGTGCAAGCCTTGTGCAATTAAATCCATTGGTAGGTGTGAAGAACTGGCTGGTGGCGGGGGGAGGCTTTTTTTAGTTTTGTCTCCTATTCAAGACCAAACAGAAAGCTGAACTGTAGAGGAAGCAATTTTAAAGCAACACCAAGCAACAGCATGGAAAAGAAGAGAGGTATTGGTGGGCCCTGTGGTAAAAGGCAGTGGCCATGTCTTCTTAAGTGACTCTTAAATGGAGCACAACACATAGTGTCCAGAATCCCACCAAGTGTGAGAGAATATTAAATCTCAATAATAAAAAAATAAAGCCAGGTCTTTGGAGCTTGGGTGTTTGTATGTCTGGAATATTGCACAGTAAAGAAGACCTTTAGGTAGGTGTATTGATGTAAAATATATAACAGTGTGTTTGTTGAATGACCAAGGTACTGACTAACACAGATGATGAGATCAGCCCACCAGCGGAGTCTGGATTATGTCTTTGAACCTACCAGCACATAACACATTTCAAGTATCACCATCGATTACAGTTTAAAAGGGGCAGGGCCTGCCTTCTGTTCCTGTGTTCTGTGTCTTAGACTGAGATTAGAGCAGGGCAAGCACTCAACTGTTGGGGTCAAGGCCCCTGTGGATCTGTCCCATGATGGTGGGCATGGTCCTGTAATAAATTAATGATCCCTTCCTGATTGGAGTTGGCACTTTTTCCTTTTTTCACTTTTAGGAAAGTCTTTAACCAGGGCACCCAGGTGTGCTATTTTCTCCCTGGTACACAGAGCAGGTAGCCTCAGCATCCATTAGCCAATATGTGGCTGTTAGCAAGAGTTCTACAACACAGCACAGACTTTCTTCACCTTCTCCCTTTTCTCACTCACTTCATCCTTACCCAGAATCCTGTGTCCTTCATTAAGTAAATTTGCCCCTATTCTTATGTTTTATCCTATCTTTCCAGAGTACTCCTGGCACTGTAGAACAAAACATTTTAAAGTCATTTTCTTTTCCTTATTGGTGTATGTGAGTTAGAAAGTGTTAAGAATAATGAGGAAGCAGGTCAAATGTGAAAAAAAGTATAAGTAAATGCTGTCAATTGTTAGATATTGTTGGTCTGTATTTTGGCCGTTAAGGTTGGAAGAGAACAGTTGCTGTGGGGACATGGGGGCTTTGAGTACTTGCCCAGTGCCTTCCAAGGACAGCAAGGAACTGCATTTGAAGTTTCTCACAATGTGAGTTTCCATAACATACTTGACTCAGGTTCCTAAACCTTCCTTTCCAGTGGAAGACTTTCATAGCTGGAGTCAAAAAGCACTTAAGAGTATGTAGTTGAGCATGGTTTGTGTGTCTTCTTTACGTTCCTTGGTTAAGTCATTGTGGGTCTGGACCGATGGGAACTCAGACTGGCATTAAGACAAAAAACTGATCATCTGAGCCTCTTTTTGCAAATGATTACTCACAGGGTTTATTATTAGATAACTTTTCTATTGTTCAGACAGAAATTCTGTCAAAGAAAAAAAAAGAAACTTAGAGGGAAGAAGGTTTGCTTTGATTGTCAGTTCCAGAGGGGATGTGACCGTCATAGCAGGGAAGGCGTAGGGACAGGAGCATAAAGATGGAGAGGCAGTCAGGAAGCTGGCTGATCACATTTCATTAGCATACAGAAATCAGGGACAAGGAGAACAGCAAATAGGACCAGACTGTAAAAACTTCAAGGCCACCCTAGTGACATACTCCCTCTAACAGGACTCCTCTTAGCATTGCCACAACCTCCCCAACAGCAGCTCCACCTCCGGACCAGGTTGTAAGCACATGAGCCTGAGGGAACTTTTCACGTTCAAACAACAACACCCAGACAGTTAGGATTTTGAGTTAATCTGGGTCTTAAAATTTCAGAACCTCCCTGTGACACTTGCTTTGTAGTTCTTAGACACTGACCTTTGATTTTATTTTTGAGTTCATATAATGATTTTTTAAAGATAGTCTAATACACATTTTCAACAGTTCCTGATCAATACACCAATGGCTTTGAAATGACGGAGTACCACGATATTCCTCTGTAATTTAAACATGATTAGCTGATGAAGATTATGATCAATACATGGAGGGAAGATAAATTAATTGATATCATCCTTTCAGGGTGATGAGAAGCCTTTCGGAGGTGGGCCGTGACTGATGAAGCAGCTGCTTCATCTCTGGGAACCATTTTTTATAGATTGCATTTCCACTTAGTCGCATTTAACACTATCATTTATTTGCACAAAAGCCGTGAGCTGTGGGCACATCAGTTCCTGCTTAAAGTTATGTTCATTTGGAAGTGAAATTACCTGTGAGCACCTTGTGGCCTCTGTCTCCTGTAACCAGTGGTCCTGGAGAGGCAGAAGGCTTCAAAGGCAGCAGTGTGTGCAGACGCAAGGCTTAACTCCTCCGGTTCCTCGCCCCAGATGTGGCACGAACTGCAGCCACTCTCCTGCAGTGACACCTATTGGTATCAGAATGTTTTTCTAGACCTCCACTTTCTTTGCAGTTAAATTCCGTATGCCTTATCAACAAGCCTATTTGCTGAGAGAATTTATGACCAGTTGAATTTATATTTGCATCGAATAAGATAAACTTCCAGTGTATGTGGCCATATATTAATATTTTTTAAAAGCCTTTGTTATAATTACTCTTGTTGAGTATAATTTTACACAGCCTGTAAAGTTACAAGTCATTCTTTAGGCAATGCCCAAACCCCCACCCCTATCCTGCCGAAAACCCAAAAAGAAAAAAAATCTTTCAAAGGGATTTTGTTCAGCTTTACTTATTTGGGATTACTTTTAAATAACTGGAAAGCACTGTTTTATCAGGATAGCCTATGTGAGGCGGGCGGACATGTGTTCTTGTTCACATTTGAGTCCCCTGAGGTAGTCCAAGCAGGCTGAAGCCCTCAGGAGTCAGTACTGGCTTGTTTGGCTTCCTGACTCACTGGTGTCACTTCCATCCCGGCGTCACTAATGGTCCTGGGTGGCTCTTGGCACCAAAGTCACATCTGTACATTTTAGAGAGATTAATCAAAAAAGACAAAGAAGGGGGCAAAGAGCAGCTCTCTCCTGAAGACAGGTCTTGAAAACCACGTGAGTTTTCAACCCTCATCAAATTCTCCAGGGCCTGTGTGCTGTAATCCCATTGGCCAGGGCTTGTATATGATGTAATCCCATTGGCCATATTCTGAGGTATGGGATTCAGAAGCCCAGGGAAATGCCCTATTTATCCTGGTGGTCAGATGTCTGGATGAAGCTTGCTATGGATGCAGGAATGGCAAGATCCAAGGATCCCCATAGGTCCCTATTTTTCACGTCATATCTGAACACTAGCCTCACATTGTTATGTCTTGTCTCTGTGTCCACTAGTTGCCCAGAAGATTGTTGCCACGAGGAAGAAGCAGCAGCTGTCCATAGGCCCCTGCAAGTCCTTACCCAACTCTCCAAGCCACTCCTCTGTGTGTTCTGCCCAGGTGTCAGCCGTGCACATCAGCCAGGTATGAAAGGTGGTGCGGGAGGTGAGGCAGCCAGCGCGTGCCAAGGAGGAGTTGGGGCAGGAAGTGCTCACAGCCAGTGCCCAAACTGTTACCAACCCCCCCCTCAACTTTGTAAATAACAGCATGTTTTATTATTGAGTTCCCAGTTCCTTCAGAAGCTGCAGTGGCCAAGTGTGCTTTATGGGAGTCAATCTTTAATGTTCTCTTTGCACACTGCCTGTGTTATGAGGCGTGCTGGGATGGGGTGGTACCAGGTGTGTGTAACAAGTCTTTTTCCATCCCGCGTGAGTCAGCTCCCAAGTAATGACACGGAGATTTCTTACAAATTATAAAAGCTCAGACTGTGGCTTAGGCTTGTTCCTAACTAGCGCTTACAACTTAAATTAGCCCATTTCTATTAATCTACGTTACCACGTGCCATCTTGTACCTCCTGTTTCCTCTCTGTGTCTCCTGGCATCTCCCTTTCTTCTGCCTGGAGTCCTCTCTGTCCCCAGAAGACCTGCCTAACCTCTTCCCACCTAGGTATCGGCCATTAAACTCATTATTAAACCAATCACAGAAGTAGATCTTCACCCAGTGTACAAATAGTGCACAAGTGTGTGCTGCAGTCTTCACCGTGGACTGAGAGGACTGGCTTTGCTCTTGGTCGGTCTAAAGGGTGAGCAGTTGTGAATAAGTCTTACTGGCTTATGCTTAGATCTAAAGGTAGTTATAACACCCGGCTCCATTGGGCCCTGTAGAAGACCTCCCCTTACAATGTTTTGCTAATTTGCTAATTTGCAAGCAAGGTACTTGTCACAGGGATTCACCCAGTACCTCATTAAGGAACAGGTGACTGGCTGGTCTTGGTTTTGTGACCAGTCCTCCTTGGGTGAGAGTCCCGTTGCTGTCTATTCCAAATGACACAGTAAGCAAATTTTGTTGCAAGTGCTCAGTTTCCCCGAGAAGCCATTGCCTTCGTGCATTTACCACTGGGACCTAGGATGGTCTAGCCTAGGATGGTCTAGCCACACACCTGAACAGCTTCACGATTGGTTTTTGAGTGATCTAAAAGCATTTTAAGGTAGTACTGTGATTTGTGAGATGTCATTTAGGAAGGGTCGCTTTGGTGTTCTGAGTGACCATTCCTTCTTCACCCGGGAGGAGCAGTGAGGCGCCCATAGGACCATGTTTCACTTCAGTTTTCTTTGTCAGAGGAAGAATAATTATGGGCTTTCCCCCCAAAATTTTTTTTTCAAACTTCACTGCATGTGGTAACTTAACCCTATAGTTTCTGTCATCTAGAGGCTGAGACAGAAGGATTGCTTTAATTCAAGTCCAGCCTGGACTACATAGTGAGCTTTAGGTCAACCTAGGCTACAGAATGTGACTCTGTCTCAAGAAGCAGAAAGAAATTTTCAGGCTCCATTATGGAGACTTGAGGTTCTTTTTCTCTCAGACAAAGGAACACTTGCTTCCAGCAGCGCGGGGTACTAGTATAAGTGCCAGCCAGGTACAGGGAGTTGACACCTTGTCTCCCAAATGCTTTTCGTGGTCACTTGCTGTTTTTCGTGCTTTGACCCTGCTTGGGTGGATTTTATGCTGTTTTATTCCCAGAACATTGATTTGTTTGTTGTTTTTCATTTTTACAGACAAGTAACGGAGGTGGGAGTTTAAGTGACTACTCCTCCTCAGTCCCTTCGACCCCAAGCACCAGCCAGAAGGAGCTCCGGATCGATGTCCCTCCCACTGCCAACACCCCGACGCCTGTCCGGAAGCAGTCCAAACGCAGGTCCAACCTTTTCACAGTGAGTGTCAGTCCTGGGGCCAACCTCTCAGTGTTACCCAGCATCTTAACCACCGTACCAGGCTGTCCCAATCCAGTGATGTGTGCGGAGTCCAGGCTGAATTTAATGAGAATCACAATGACTCTGGAGTTTGAGGAAATTGTGACAAGAAAAAATTTCGGTCCTGAGCAGAATGGGAATTGTCCGGTTGGGACTGAGTGTGAAACCTGAACAATTTTCCTTTACCCTGAGCACAGCCTTCACCCTCCTGGGACTTTCATGGTCCCACATTAAATACTCTGCTAGAGATGGAGAGATTGTGAAGGTGTTGAGGGACTCAGTTTGCACCTGATCATCACAGAGAGGCCTTAGCCATCACCCTGTTTACCTGTTGGGTCTGAGAACTGACCCCAGGGGTGGGCATGGGACTAGGACTTGCCTTTCTATTAACATTGCAACCCCACCCTCTTTCTGGGTCTTCAAGATACTCCCTGCCATAGGCTTGTCATGGCCTTTCCTCAGAGTCCTTTAGGGAGTGTGCTGGATTGGATATCTGAGCTTTGATTTAGAAACCCTGAGTCCAGGGTGGGACCAGACATGTGTACTTTCACAAGCTCTTTGGGCTGATGGGTGCAGATACTGCTCTGAACTACAGAAGAGGCAGACATACTGTTTACTGCCTCTTCTGCTCAGTAGACATCACCAATCAATTATGGATGGCTTTGCGGTTGAGTACAGAGCTAGTATGGTGTGATTTTTAAGAAGTCTTTCTCTCCCTGGCCAGCTCTGTGTAGTGTCTGCACTTAAAGCCTCTTGTTCTGGTTGGGCCAGACTGACTGAATCACAGAGAAGGTTCTTATTTCCATCTCAATAAAAGAGATCTCCCAGGAGTAACTAGAAGTTCATTGTCTGACCTGATGCCTTCAAATGAAGACAGTCACTGCATACTGTGGGTACCTGCCAGATCTGTGGTTGCCCTCACACTTTCCCACCATTTTTGCGCTGCCTCAGTGGTTAGATCATTCATGCTCAGGTCTGCTGATGACAGAAGGTTCCCCCTTTGAGCCACCTTGTCCTTTCCTTTGCTGGCCTGTATCATGCAGCTCTGATACACTGCTGGCCGCTGATTGACCTTAGACAAATCACTGAACCTCTCTGATAATTGGAGCAGTAGCTATTCTTCCGTGGGACTGTCAGTTGGGACCACTTCTCAGAGGGGCAGAGGAGTGTTAGTGGGGCATTTGTGGGTTTTTTTTTCCCACTACCATAGTCAGGAGCATGGACACTAGTGATGTTCAGGCAAAGTAATTGGTAGGACTGCTGGGTAGGCCTGGAGGGGTTATTTTGGCTTCTGCATGATAAAGTAAAGTATCTGGTAGGCCACAGTAGTGCATGGATGTAAGGCAGTACATTATAAAGTTCTTAGACACAATGTGAGCAGTCACATGAACGGTTGGTTCCTAGCTGGATGCCCAGAGCAGGACTATTGGTTAAGAAGGTACCACTTCCCAAAAAGGGTGCTCATTCACTTGTGACTCAGTGGGCCTAAGAGCTAATTGCCATAACCACACCTGACTTCAGCAGCTTTGGGCTCCAAGAGTGAAGGATAAGAAGTTTTTGTAGGCCCCACCACACACTGTTAGGAAGGGCTTGTGGTTTCTGCCTAGCACCACTCAGTCTGCATTAACTTTGGCTTCTACCATATGAAAGAAATATGAAAATACTATGAAAAGGAAATACTACTTTGAACAGAACTACTTGAAAGGAGATCCTCTCTCCTCTCCTGGATGATTGACAATTCAAATGACCTCGGTGATTGACAACTCACATGAGGATTCTTAATTTTAAGACCTGAAGAAGAAGAAACACGATTGGCTAATAGCTGCTCTTCAGCCCTGTCTTTGCTCAGTATCTAGGAGCTTGCGTGTGGCCAGAGCTGGCCACACCAAAGGAGAAATGGGCCGGGAGCCACAGAGCTAAAAGTTTTATATAAGCTTGAAAGTGCACAGAGGCTGAAGATGCCAGCGAGCTGCACCCAAATTGACATCTCTTAGAGTGTCTCTGGCTGCGTGTGTTCTGCACATTTGCTCTCTTCTTATGTCAGAAGACAGTTTGAGAATGAAGATTTTCACCCGTTGAGTTCAGCTGCCCAACTGATGTTTGTGGAACAGAAATTTGGGGTTCTGCAAGAATGTAGTGCTGCAATGGGTTTGTGCTGTGGCATTTAAGGATCAGCTAGCTGAAATTCCAAGAAAGGGCCAGCACATGGGTTCTTACCAGGTTTGGCTTTGCCGTTGGGCAGGATGGTAGTGGAGGTGGGTGCTGAACATTTTGAGTTGAAGGACTTGGAAACATTGACTCCACTAGATGTCAGTGTCATACAAGGAATGAAAAGAAAGCAAATTAGTTCTAAAATCTAAGCAATTAAGAATCCAGATTTCAGTAGCTAACAGCCTGCTTCTGTGTTGTAATATGTCCAGTTTTGCAGTCTTTAACCCTGTCACTATGTCCAAGTGTGTAGTGTTTAGACCTGTCGACAGCTGTGCTAGATGCAGACCATCTTAGTTACTGTTCTGCAGCCGAATGGAGATGCAGCTGGTGGGCATTGTCCACTTGTCTGTTAGCACATGCTAAAAAGGCTGGAGGCCATCAGCATGCACATAGCTCCCATCCTGCCCTCACATGCCTTTCAAAGTAATCCTGTGCCACAGAGGGATAACATCTTCAGCTGGCAGATGGTTTTATTTGCAAACATACATGTTGTAAACAAATAAATCCTATGTATTTTGTATGAAATTATATAAACTAAATCATTCCAGTTGTAGCATGGTATGCATTACTTTGCAGTGACAATTATGTATGCCTTACCAAGGGGAATTTAAATTGTATCATGCTTTGTTAATTTTTCATGTAAGGCCTTGAGAAATGATGACCCATTGGATACCTGCCTTAGAAATACAGAATTTTTAGAACAGTTCATTTAGTAGCCCGATTTACATGTAATTGAAATATTTTATTGAATAATATTTTTAAATTTATAAGAATTACAAAGAAAAAAAACCTGCATGTATTCTCTGTGCTAATGAGAGAGATCGGTTGGCAGCCACTAGCTTCATGAAGGATACACATTGGCAGTGAAAGTCCAAGCCTCCCAATCCGTCCCCCTGCCTCTGTTCTAGGGGCTTGCCATGTACCTGAGTGGGTATGGATGTGCTGCCTGCATTTGTGGTGTTGCGCTTGCAAGGCTCCTTAAGTTCTCTGTGGTGTTGCTTTATGTCTTTTCAGGCTTTTAAAGAATTATGTCTTTATATGGTGTTTTTAAAAGCTTGCTGTGTGATGCTGATTCCAGTAAACAGTTCAGCACACCAGCATCCAAAGATGGTACAGAACTTGGACCTACTCAGAGAAGCTCACTGAAGAAAAAATGACAATGAAATCCATAGTATAAAAGAATTGATACTTGGTGTCTTGCCGAGAACAGGAGCTCTAAAGCCAGGCCTGGTGCGTTCCATCTGTTCCCGCCTTATTGGTTGGAGCTAGGAGAGCAGGTTCTGTTTGATGGGCATCATTGCCAGTCACGATTCTCTGCCCAGTGTCCAGGGGATTTTGTTTATTATGTATAGGGAGTTAAACATTTTTTGAAATGAAGTAAATAATCCTTCCCTTTCGTCTGTCTTCGGTGTCTGTGGGGCTCAGCAGTCGTTCTGGTGGCTTGAAGTCTACGGGTGTGCAATGAGAGTGATGAGCTCTGATGCTGAAGAATGCGGCAGGCTGGATGTAGCCATGGGTACCAAGGACTACCAGGAGTATCTAATGAGCAGTTTTAGTACAGAGGGGAGGATGCTCACTGTGGAGACTCTCCCCTCGGGATTCAGAGGTGCAGGGTTTTATTGCTAGTTGTGGGTTAGTTGTCAGCCTGTTGGAGATGGCAGACCTGGCAAACCCCTGCCCAGCAGCTTGTTGGAGCTCTGGCCTTTAGTTTTATGGCACTTTCCACAAACATTATATCATTGTTGGTGTACCCTGAGTTTCTCTCTCATTTGTCTCGGAGCCTGTGATTGTGCCGAGCATGACTCCTGTTTCTTTATGTATTTGGAGCTGTGCAGCAACTCTGGCTGCTGCTTCCTGCTTCCGTGGAATCCAGAATTCTACGCAGAGAACAGTGATTGGGGACAGATGCGCCGCCTCCAGGAAAATGTTCATTTTTTTAAAAATGTTTGTTTTGTTAATTATTCTGCTTAATGGAGAATAATGAAGATGGATTTTTCAAACTTAGGTATTTAGAAGTGATAAAGTTCCCCAAATGTCCTTAATGCTCTCCATTGATTCAGAATTTCTGAAATGTTGTCAGGTATGAGCTTTGGAACTTAATTTTCCAATTGGGAACCTCATGTGCCCATGAACTGACTTGTGAGACAGAGGTGGCTGTGGGAAGTTTTGCTTTGCGTGACTAACTAAAGAGTAAAAACAGAAGGAGTCTATGTTGAAGTCTGTGATGAAGGCACACGGCTTGGGGCACCAAGAAGGCATTTAATAAATGCAAAAGCCCCTGTGATATCAGCTAAGAGCGTGGTTTCTCACATGCACTGCCACGTGACAAAATCACCACCTTTGAAGTGTCTGCGCCGAGTTGATACCACAGGCACCTTTTCCTGAGTCTTCTGGCAGTAACCCGTCCTAGCATCTTAAGTCCGTCCCGTCAGCCCTTGCTTTTATTACCTCTCAGGTCCTTGCCTTTTTGGATACTGTTTTAGAAGCATCTTGCGCTTCGTCCCATACCCTTTTGAATCTGAATTTCATTAGCTGCTCCCAGCACCACCGGACACCACCGAGTCTCTCTGTTTCATATATCATCTCAGATTTGAAAAGCACAGGAAAATGTTTCTCCATTTTCAATATTGCGTGAGTAATGTTCCCATTGAAAAGTAATGGAGTGAAGTTGTCACTTGTCAGCACTGTTATTAAGGAGGACGAGTCTCAGATCTTTCTCTCATAATAAAATAAATCTGTCAGACAATCACCATGCTTACACTTGCTCATGCCAGCAGGAGCCAGGACGTGGCCGGTGACTGGCGTGCTCCTGCATCTTTCCTCGGTGCCCTCCTCCCCACACCTGCCAACCATGGGGCAGTTCGTACGGCATCAACAAGCCATCCAAGATAATTGGCTCAAGAACCTGGCAAACAAGCAGTTGTTCATTGCTCCCTCGAATATTGACATTTTGTCAAAAAAAGATTTTCAGTTTTTGCCTCCGTTATCTTTCTGTTGCACAGTAGACCGCTTTAACTTTGAATTGCTGTTTTCTAACCGACCAGAAGCAATAAAAGGAAACATTGCTTGCCCCTTGAAACAACTCGCCAGGGGTATACCAGTAAGTCACACCACTGAGTGTGTGTGATGATTTTTAAATCATCTAGACATTAATTTAATCCATACATTTGTGCAGTTGGACTTCCAGATAACCTTTGAAGGCCCCCTCTCCTCGGCTATGGTTACTGCAGCTCTAGAATGTGTTTTCTCGTTGGGCGTTGCTTTCCTGGATGGTCCATTGGTTTCTAGTAATTGCATTTTGAACTCTTTAAAAAAGAATTAAAAGATAATTTCGCAGTAGAAAAGTCAGGAGAAAAGTTTAGAAAATTCTCTTTGGAATGATGAGTCAGTACAGACAAACGGCTAGGGGTGGCAGTTCTGAATCCTGTTGGAGGGGCGAGACCCGTCTGGCAGCCTCAACCCTTGCCCAAATGCTAACTTTACTTTTGCTTGCAGTCTAGGAAAGGGAGCGACCCAGACAAAGAGAAGAAAGGCCTGGAGAGCCGTGCGGACAGCATCGGGAGCGGGCGAGCCATCCCAATTAAACAGGTACACTTGTCCCCTTCCCTGCTCGCTGGAGACACACCTCGGTGCAGCCTGAGATGGTGCTGGCTCGGGCACCAGGGTTTGTTTGATGTGCTCTGTTGATGAATGTAGAAGTCACTCACTTGACATCAATTAGAAGGGGTTCCTGTGAGTATTAAAATGGGATCATTAGAATAAGAAGAGGGAAATGCGACAACAGCTCTAATGAAGTGCGGTCTGCCCGCCTGCATATGGAGTGTGTTTCCATGCTGCACTGGCTTCAAAGGCTGCCTTTGTAGCGTGGCTTTGATTGGGCCGCTGGCCGCCAGACGACAGGGGTAAATCAGATCGCTGTAGAAGAACCCCTTGTGATCACAGGAATAGCCTGACGTGGCCCTAATTTGCTCTTGCAGACGGACATCTGAACACTGTTTCAGGCTGGTCTGTAACAACGAGGCAATTAGTTGTAATAATCATAGCTGGCGTGTCAGCTGTGCGCTCTTGTTTGTAATTTGCTAATGAAGGGATTGTAACTTTGATTAGGTTCAGTTTCATTTAGACCTTATTATACACAGGAACATTTACAGCTGTAATGTGGGGCCTTAATTAAACTTCCCCATTACACAACAGGACTTGAATTCAAGCATTTGTTTTGGCCAATGTTGCTAGCCTGAAATGGGTTTTCATTAGCCCGGAAACCGGGTCCTAAATTGCTTCACGTCTCTAGCAAGACACACTGGAATTCACGTGTGAAGTCTTTTGCTGCTTCATTTCCGAAACAATAAGAATAAAGAGTTCAACCCTGCTCGGCGGCGCTGGAAATGTCATCTTTTTTGGTTGATAAAGAAGGCCAATTGATTTAGAGTGTGTTCTGTTTTGGTGCGGAAATAGCTCTGCCTTCCTCGGGACGACACTGGTGGCCTATTCGTAGCATTGGGTAATCTAGGGCATCCATTGCCTGTTCTGTAGCTACCACCCAGGTTGGTGGCCTGAGCATGTGGGCCCTGAGGGAGGGAAAGAGTATTCATGCTGATATAGCAGACTCTCCTCAGCGGTGCAGGTCTCACCTGTTTGTAGCTAATGGCTGCAGCCCTTGTGAGAAGCTGAACCATTTCAGATTGAAGATGTGGGAGTTAAGGAGCCACGAGATTTCTGAGAAACCAGGACTACTGCATTCCTACCCTCCGGCTGTGGACCAGAGTGGCCTGTGTGCCACATATGCCCTCTGTTCAGAGGGCTGTGTGAACCTTTGACCCAGGGGAGGAAGGCCTACAGGCATTAGCGAAGGGTACTGTGCCTCTCTCTGTATAGGACCGTCCTTACTATTCTGAGTGACAGATTTGGGGGCTAGCTTGCAGCACCTTGAAGGAAAATGTTCACTTTCATGTGTTTACAAATAAGGCAAGTAAGCCTTCCTAGTGGTGGGCAGTGTTTTCCTTATAAACAAGCTTATTATTTTTGAAGGCCGTGTACATAGTTGTTTAGTAGCATTGCTTATTTAATTATAATCCAACTCTACATAAAACCATTTTAATGTATAATTTCTGTGCAGTGTTACTTCATGTAGAGTTACAATAATTATTGAGCCGTTATTCACTTGAAAACCTGGTGCTGGGACGCTGAGGAAGATTGTTTCTTGATGGACATCATCTTCCTGATTCCTGTCAGCTCCTGGTTGAGGGAAGAGGAGGCTCACTTTCTCAGCAGGAAATCCATGTGAGCCAGCCAGGCCCTGGTGTAATTGGAACCTCACTTAATTTGTTCCCTGCTCATCTCTGGACCCGATCAGCTTCTCAGACTGGACTTTCAGTTTGCAAAGACTGAAGGTTGACAGTCTAGTATGAAATGCGGGCTCCGCATTCCTCGGAAGCCTTTCGCTCCTGGACGTTCATGATATTCTCCCTGAAGTCTAAATCTTGGTTTCCTCATGACTCCTGGGCACAGGGCGTACTTGATTTCACCCATTCAGTGCTCACAGTAGGAAGCATGGACTAACTCCTACAAGGGAGTGCTCCCAGCATCACATGGTCCCACTGTAATTGATGCTTAGGCCTCACACCCCTCATGTGCTAAGTGTGGACCTGGAAGAAGAAAACTCTCACACCTAGGCATTCTGCAGGGATCCATTCCAGCCAGACTGCGGTTTTTCTTCTGAGATGTTGTTCCAGGTGCTCGTGCAGAGCCTTCCTGCACGTTCTCTGGAGTAAGGTAGAGGTGGTAGGTGGTCTGGGTTGTTACAGTGATCTAACACTGAATGCTATGCTATGTATGCTCACACTTTAAAAGTACTTGGATCATTCAAGTATATATACTCCTCACTGTCCCCGCCCTGCTGTGGTGACCTCTGTATGGAAACAAGAGGATTGAGAGGATGGCATCTGAAGGGGCAGTATCTGCCTAGAATATTCTAGAACATGCACAGTGTTTCTTAATAACACATCTGTGTTCTTTCCATTACATGTTGAAAGGAAGCCTACAAAGCAGCGTTGACAGTTTTAAAGATTACTGTTTTTATGTGTGTGTATGTGTGTTAGGTTTTTGTGTGTGTGTATGTATGTGTGTGTGTGTGTTAGGTTTTTTGGGGGGGCGGGGGGAATTCGAGACAGGGTTTCTCTGTAGCTTTGGAGCCTGTCCTGGAACTAGCTCTTGTCTATCAGGCTGGCCTTGAACTCACAGAGATCCACCTGCCTCTGCCTCCTGGGGGAATTAAAGGCATGCACCACCACCACCCCGCTGCCTGTATTAGTTTTTTTGTGCACTGTGTACATGCAGGTACCTGCAAAATTCAGAAGGTAGCATTGAATCCACTGGAACTGGAGTTACAGGTGGTTGTGAGCTACCACATGTGGGTGCTAGGAACCAAACTTGGGTTTTCTGCAAAAGCCTTGAGTGGTCTTCACCACTAAGCCATCTTTTCAGCCCCAAGCTGTAGGTGTTAAGTCAAACATGGGAACTCTCAGCTCCCACAAAAGTATCCGGTGCTGTGCAGAAGAAGCAGCTGAGGCTGTGCCTGTAGCAGTGTCTTTCTCTGGGGATGCTGCAGGAATGTGCATCTGTCCTCAGGGGAAAGCATTGCTGTTCATTTGCAACTGCTGTCTCTGTCCCTCTCACATGCAGCAGAGTCCTTGGTCCAAGTTGAAACTTGTCAGAGCTGCTGGACCATTGGCCTCAGGCAGAAGACTGACTTCAGAAGCTCCTGCCCTGTCCTTGAACATCTGGTGTTCTGGCCTTTTCACTCTTCTGCTCTTCCACAGGAATTTTGCAAGTGCAGCAGTCTGCATGTCCTGCAATCTCGCTCGTGGTTGTACAGGTTGCCCATTTGCATAGGTTGCTTTTCCCTCATTTAATTTGTAACAGGTAGCTGGCCAAGTCACCATCACTGGTGACTTTATTTCTCCCTTTCTCCAGTTTAAGATTCCCAGGAGTAAGGAATTGTTTTCTAGCCTTTAACTTCATTTCTTCAGGATCTGGACCCAACTCTTCTTTTGTCTTATCTGGGTATCCAAAATAGATGGATTTACAGAGTCCTGTTTCTTTTCTTAGTAATAAGATAAAGGTCTATTTGAGTAGAAATAAAAAGGCAAAGCAAGAAAAATAAAAGCCAGCGGCCCAGCTCAGCGGCCAGTGGGCTTGTCACGTATTAATTTTTCATCGCTGTGGCAAGTTGTACATACATAATCACTTGATTGCAGTGGGAGTTAGGGAGCTCCTATGGTGTCATTTGCATAAATCTTGTTAAGTCAATGGCAGTTAATGAAGTACAAATGAGCCCGGAGAAGGTGACATGCAAATCGTGGGTGGCAGATGGGAGGTCTGTTTGGGGGATGGCAGCTGTGTACTCTCTTTTCTTCTTTCTCTTTAGCATTTTTTAATCTCTATATTTGAGTGCAGATACACAGCCATAAGCCTCCTCCCCTCCCGTGGACTCCCAGCCAGAGTCTAATGCTCATGCTGAGAGTCAGGGATGGCGGGAGCATGCCTCACACACATGCATACACACAAGTAGGCGTGAGGTCACTTTAGCTCGTCACACTTTCACAATTGAATTTGGATTTCAGTTGGTGGGGACAAACAAAAACAAGCCTGCGCAGACGTCGCAGAGATTCCAGTCATGCAGATACTGTTTCTACTTAACTGGCTTCTGTTTGGGGATCTTTCTTCACTGTTCATGCGGGCCAGCTGCAGGTAGGGAGGAGTCTCAGAGTCCCTTACTATGAGCCTGCCGTGCCCAGAGTGACTTTGCTGTTAAAATCAGGCCCTGGTGAAGACCCCATCTTGTCAGTGCAGGGTCCCCACAGGCTGGTCTCTGCTTTGCCTGGGGGTATCCTTGCTTGGGGGAGGTTTTGCAAAGCCCTGTAAAACACTGCTTCTGCCTTCTGCTTTTGGAAGCCCTGGGTTTCTTATTTGATCGATAGTTTTGATATTTTGAGAGAATCTAGACTTCACTGAAGAACCCCAGGGAGGTGTATGTAGAAAGCCTGAACCCTGCAGCAGGAGGGTGTTGAGTCCTTGCTGCTCACCTGGATTCTGTCCTTGGGGTTTCTCCAAGCAGTTTCCAGATCTTTGGATCTTCATCCTACATCTCTGCTATTGTGAAAGAACCTATCTTGTGCTGATTCAGTGTCCTAAAGTGGGGGTGGGGGTCTCAAGTCCAGGAAGCCTTCTATTCTCAGATCAGTGGTTAGCCTGGTCCTACTATCATACTGGCCCCTCCAAGTTCCTGCTCTGCCCAGGGGGCGTGAGTGAGGTGTGCTGTGATCTGTCAGAGTACTGTGGGGTGTTAGTTACTTTTCTAATCAATGTGACAGGGGAAGGAAGTGTTGATTGTGATCACAGCTCCAGGATGTGGTCAGTCATGGCCTCAGGAGTGTGGAGCAGCTGGCCACATTGTACACATAGTCAGCAAGCAAAGAGAGACAAAGGCTAGTACTCAGTTCTCTTCTTCCTTCTTTTTCTTTTCATTTCTCTTTTATTACATCTGGGATCCCTGCCCGTCAGATGATGTCACCCACATTCAGTGGGGT